GTCCGGGTCCGGATGTCGCCAAACCCTATTCGGACCTACAGACCTCGCAGCAGTTGAACTTTACAGACTCTCCCTCCTTCCTCAGGGTTCGCCAAGTCCACAAGCCTTACTGAGCCGCGCCAGACACCGTCCGCGAGGCTCTGCGCGCCCGTGACGTCATTGCCGTGCGCCTCTCGCACACCGAGGGGACGATGGCACTGGCGCGACCGTTGCGGCCGCTGTGGCTCGCGGTTCGGTTGCTTTTGGCGCCTCGACGGGACCTAGCGGTCCGCGGCCCCGACGAGCCCCTGCCCGTGGTTCGCATCCCGCGGGCTCTACAGCGGCGGCAGGAACAGCGGCAGAGCGGGCGACCGAGTTCCCCTCGGCTGGTACTGGCGCGACCGGGCCCGCTGCTAATTTCAGCGCGGCGGCCGGAGTTGAACCAGCCGGCGCGCCTCACGCTGGGCCGTTGGGAGCGCGCGCCACTAGCTTCGCGTGGTTGGAAGAATCGACGCTCCCGCAGAGACTACTTCTCTATCGAGCGTGCGCAACAGGAGGCACCATCGCTGCGGAACCCCCCATGTGAGGGCCGCTTCGCGGCTCTGGGTCTGGAACCCCGCGTGCTGCATGCACTACAGGAGGCTGCTCCTGAAGTCGTTCGGCCTACAACCGTGCAGTCGAGCACCATCCCCCCCCTACTTCGCGGCCGCCACATCCTTTGCGCGGCGGAAACCGGCAGTGGCAAGACTCTTGGATACCTGCTACCTCTGTTTCAACGGCTCTTGGGCCGGCCAAGCCTGGACTCGCACAGTATACCTGCCCCTCGAGGCCTGGTCCTTGTGCCTTCGCGAGAATTAGCCGAACAGGTGCGGGCCGTGGCCCAGCCCTTGGGCATCTCCTTGGGCCTCCAGGTGCGGGAGCTAGGGGGAGGCCATGGCATGAGTAGGATTCGGCTGCAACTGTCCAAACAACCTCCAGTAGATGTACTAGTGGCAACTCCAGGAGCTCTGTGGAAGGCCCTGAAAGGTCAACTAATCAGCCTGAAGCAGCTCTCCTACTTGGTGTTGGATGAAGCGGACACGCTATTGGATGAAAGCTTCCTAGAACTAGTGGACTACATCTTGGAGAAGAGCCATATAGCAGAAAGCCCCGCTGACTTAAAAGACCCCTTCAATCCCAAAACTCAGTTAGTGTTGGTGGGGGCCACATTTCCTGAAGGTGTAGGCCAACTGCTAAGTAAACTTGCCAGCCCAGACTCTCTGACCACCATCACCAGCTCCAAACTCCACCGCATCATGCCTCATGTTAGACAGACATTTATGAGGCTGAAGGGAGCAGAGAAGGTGACTGAGTTGGTGCAGATCCTCAAGCAGCATGACAGATCACAAAGGACTGGCCTCTTGGGAACTGTTCTGGTGTTCTGTAATAGTTCCAGCACTGTGAACTGGCTGGGATATATTCTGGATGACCACAAAATCCAACACCTAAGGCTGCAGGGACAAATGCCAGCCTCAATGAGGGCAGGCATCTTCCAGTGCTTCCAGGAGGGCTCCCGAGACATACTCCTCTGCACAGACATAGCCTCTCGGGGCCTGGACAGCACCCATGTAGAGCTAGTTGTCAATTATGATTTTCCCCTCACCCTGCAAGACTACATCCACAGAGCAGGTAGGGTGGGCCGTGTAGGAAGTGAGGTGCCTGGCACTGTCATCAGCTTTGTGACCCATCCCTGGGATGTAAGCCTGGTTCAGAAGATTGAGCTGGCAGCTCGCCGGAGGAGAAGTCTTCCAGGACTAGGGTCCTCAGTAAGAGAGCCTTTGCCCCAGCAAATCTGATGGTAGCCAGCTTAAATGTGATGCCATTAACAGGAATCTTTCCCTTTGCCCTGGGTGGGTGAGCACACTTGTCCATAGGATGCACTGGGCTGCCCAGTCACCTCCCTGAAGGCCTGGTGAGCTGCTCTCTGGCTTCCAAAGGTAGATTTGGCCAGCACTGGAGAATGAGCATGGTTCTTTGTAGTCTTTCACATGACTCCTGAAAAATAAAGTAGATTTTTTGGCTTTGTATTATGTCATAATTTCTAACAATAAATGATGTTTTTATGGGTCTAACAATAGTTAACACTGGGGTAGAATTCATTGGATTATGAGAAGATTCACACTCCAAACAACACATCTGGGACCGAGGCTCTTTCCACTGCTGTTTTATTTTTATTTTTATTATTGTTTAAGGATTTTATTCATTCATTTGAGAGAGAGCGAGCACGAGTGGAGAGAGGGAGAAGCAGACTCCCCACTGAACAGGGAGCCTGATGTGGGGCGCGATCCCAGGACCCTGAGATCATGACCCGAGCCGAAGGCAGATGCCCAACCAAGCCACCCAGCCAACCCATTCCATTGCTGCTTTAATTAGTAAACATTTAGATTTTATTTCTTGCCCCCAAAACATCCATTAAGCACCCCAGAGAAGGGAAAGGGGATATGAGTAGCAGAGAGATTCTCTTCACCAACAGTGCCCATGGCAAGCTTGGGCATTCTTGGTGAAATCTCTCTGGGAAGTACTGGCAGAAGAACAGAAGACAGACTGACACAGAAGTAATGCTTGGTGTGCATTTCCAGGCTCTGCCTTCTTTCTCATCTCTTGTGGCAGGGGAAGAGAAAAGAGGATTAAACTTTTTACAAAACTGGCAAAATAGGCATGTAGCATCCTCTATTTCCTAGGTTCCATTTTCTGCAGCATTATATAAGCCTAAAGTAATGCACAGTTGAGAGTCAAATACTCCACAAAACAACTTAAAAATACTTACACACTGAAAAGGATAAGGTTGCATAGAAAAGAAATGGGCCCAGGGCAATCTTTGCCAGGAGAGAATATTGCACTAAATGTACAATCATATCTCTCTTTTTCATATGAGGAAGGTTGAGGCTCAGAGGGATAAAAGAACTTGCTCAAGGGCGCCTGGGTGGCTCAGTTGGTTAAGCGACTGCCTTCAGCTCAGGTCAGGATCCTGGAGTCCCAGGATCGAGTCCCACATCGGGCTCCCTGCTTGGCAGGGAGTCTGCTTCTCCCTCTGCCCTAACCCCCTCTCATGTTCTGTCTCTCTCTCAAATAAATAAATTTAAAAAAAAAACTTGCTCAAAATCATACACATAAGTATGACAGAATCTGGTCTGTCTGCACCAAGGGTTGAGTTATTTACCAACTTTCAATATTGCCCAATTTGACTCTCAAAAGCAACCAGGTTTGGACAATAATGGGGTCATTCTATCCATGGATCACTATGGCAGAACTGTTAAAAATACATATTCCAGGGACACCTGGCCGGCTCAGTCAGTAGAGCATGTGACTCAATCTCTGGGTTGTAAATTCAAGCCCCATGAGGGGTAAAGAAATAACCTAAAAATAAAATCATAAAAAAAAAAAATTACAGATTCCTGAACTCACAACCATTTGTCTATGCTATTCTGCCTTCCCCAGAGACACAGCCAGGTCCTGATAAGGTATCTAACCCTACCAGGTCAGAGTGATATTCCCAAACTCTCTGGAGCCTTGGAGAATCTAAGTAGTCTTCCGCTGGCCCACCTGCCAGAAAGAACCTCCTCCAGAGCTCTCCCCTTCACATTTTTCCTCCTAGCACTCCCCAAGGGCAGTCTGCTCGAATCAAGCCTGACTTTGTGTGTCCTAACATGCACCACACTAATTCAAGCAACTCAGGAAGAGAAAGAACATGATGTGATTCTCAACCAGGGTTGCCCAACCTCTAAAATAGTAGTCCTGTCATTTTCTACCTCCAGGGCATATCCCCTTTGCAACTGCCCCAGGAAACAAGCATCCCATCTTCGCATATTGAAGGTCAGCAACAGGGGGCTCCCTCCTAAGGAAGGTTATCTCTCATTGCTAGGAAGTTCCTGGCTGCACTATATCCAAGGCTGCCCCAAATATGGTTCCTTCCTGTGGGCCTGATCAGGCTAAGGGCAGAGTTGTCTATTTCCTCCTCCTCCAAGTAGGACCCAATCAGCTTTAGTAACATCTCTTCACAGTTTGACCATGTTTTTCACCGGCACTTTTGCTGAGCCCCCACTTCGTCCTTTCATGGTGGTAGGATTGTTATTACAGTATTTGCCTTTTGGGGGAGAGATGAAAGTAATGATTAAATTGTCATTTTATATTATGTCATTTTGTCATGAATTTGTTTTGAATTTTATACTAAAATGGCCCACCATTCCCACTTTGTGAAGCCATTCAGGACCCTCATTTTGCCTTGGAGCACCTTTAACATCTCTTCCAGTGTTACTTTGAAATGTGATGAGCTTGTCCTCACATTCCTATCAGGTATAAATCCAGAGCCCAACATGAAGCTCTACCATTGAGCAGAACACCTCTTCACTGCTTATGCAACCTTGCATAGGTTTTTTGAGTCCCCCACTTGTAAATACATGAGGGTTCTGTGAATTTATACTTGGGGCAGGACAAGTTCAAGAAGAGCATGTCTTTGCTTTTATTCTTCCCAGCTGGAATGTCTTCCCTCTCCTCTCCACGGGTCCAAATCTAACTTATCCTTCAGACCCACTGCCAAGGAGCCTTCTACACAGATCTCTGCCTCTCCAGCTATTGAATACTTAGGGACAGTGCCATACAACATAGCTGTCTCTTGGGTTAATCTTGCGTCTCAAGCCAATAGCAGAATGTGGGTTTCTCTTGCCCTCTTTTGGTCCCTGGGGCTGTGACAGCCCAGAGGTATGCTCCACAGGGAGTGGCTACTTCACTAGGGCTGGCTGGGGAGGGAAGTGTGAGGGCCTAGGCAGCGTGCTTCTCTGCCTCCACCCTGCTCTCCTCCACAAAACCCTGAGAGCCTGCCCCTCAAGTCACAGATTCCTTATGTGACCTCACTGGGTAGTGATGACCTCACAGGCCTTCTCACAGTTTCCACGGCAGGGTAACTACTCAAACGTGGTGCTGTCGGGGAAACTTTCCTACCAGTTCTCTACCAGATACCAATCTGTTTGGTTGCCTGAGAGAGAATGTCTGACCGGATCTTCTATATTCATTCTAACTTGTCCTCTGTGCCCTGGGAGGGCAGCACAGCAGGTAGGCCTAGGCCAGGCATCTGTCCAAGAGTCACTGGTGTACATACAACTCCACCTGGCAGCCACATGTTCCTTTGGGGCTTCCCCACCACACCTCAGAACGTAACCAGCTGTAAGTAGAACAAGTGGCCTGGGGCGCCCTCAGGGACTTACGTGTCCCTGCTCCCTGCCGAGGACAAGTGAAAGGTCATCCCTGGGCAACTATTCAGAAAGCTTCTAATCTTTATAAATACAGCCTTCCCTTTTGGGCTACAAGCTCCTTTTCCATTCTGACCCTTTCCTGATTGGCCCCTTCGGTAAAGTCAAGCGCATTTTTGTTGGCAAGTGATAAGCGGAGCAGTTTGAGGAAGGAGTGTTGAGGGCTACTCATGAACCTCCCCTTCAAACCCAGGCACCTTCACCATGCTGTTGGGTAGACACACACAAGGGTCCCCCCAGAAACACCGCAGACTGGGCTGCTGAATACTGGGGAAAGGTGGTTTCATATCGATGGGAAGAACAGAAGAGCCAAGGAGAGTGATGAGTGATACAAGATTAGAGGGCTGACGAAATGGCGTCCTAGGAGGTTAGGTTGACGTGAGCATAGACTTGCTACTCAGAATCTGGCTCTGAAGCTCCTGCTCACTCTGCCTCCGTATTTGGCCTTTTCCTAATCTAGGTAAAAGTATCAGAGGGCTAGAGGTCAGTGTGGTTGAAAGAGGCAGTGTGAATGGGGCCCAAGAGGAGTTGCCAAGGTGGGAGGGGTTCTTAGCCCATTTATATTATTTTTTCAACACCCGAAAGGTATTTCCATTAAAGCCTCAGAAGTGACAGACCTTAAGAAATGCTTTTTCTGCTGTGGAAGGGAGACATGGAAGGGATCCTGGTTGCAAGTGTTTCCGTTCTACGGTTTCCTCTGAGAATGAGGGACAGATTTCCAGGTCTCCTGCTGCTGCCCTAAGCTCCAAAGAATCGCTTTTGCAGCCATATTCCTTCTCTAGGGGACTCATAGAGGTGATGGGCCAAGGCTGTGTTTTGGATACCAAGCAGATTAAAGGGCTTCAGCCGGAAACAGGGAGAGATGTGAGATTGGAGGTCCTGGCAGGTTGCTGTATACAGCAGAAATGACTGATGAGATCTGATTTTCTTTCCAGCAGCAGTACCTCCCACTTCTCCTCCTACACCTGGTCACTACCATGTCCTCTACCAAGGGTGTGGAGAAACCCAGGTGGGCTGGCATGGGGAGACATACTGCCTGGTTGGTGGCTACCGGACCTATGGGGATGCTCCTGTGGCCACCCCAGCAAAGGCGGAAGCAGAGAAACCCATTCCCAGCCGGGCTCCCAAGAGACGTCGAGCTCTCGCAGAGTCGGATAAAGACCTAGGTTGCTCCAGCCCCAAAATTCGGCGATTGCAGCATGGTCGCAGGAGGCTGACCCCACAGAAGCTTGCTGGCTGAGCCACTCTACAGAGAGGGCAAACGTTTAACCACCTAAGACAGCTAATGCCTCTTCCTGCAGTGACCCCCTTTGCCCACCACTGGAGGTTAGAACCTGAGCCGTTCTGTCTGAGCCTTTGTCGGCCAGGAGCCTCCTTCCATACTAACTGGCCATGGGCAAGGAGCCTTAGAAACCGAGACTTGAAACGAGAGGCTGCTCCGACCATCCCAGGGTGGAAACTGGCCTGGAAGAAAACCTGATGTTTCTCTGCTTGATACTCTAGAGTCCCTTCTTGGAAAGAAGAAAGAAAAGTCTGCACTCTTTGAGCCAAGGAGGATCCAGGAGCAGAGAGAGGGTTCAGAGTAGTCTCAGCAGGGGCCCATCTATCAGATAGACTCCTGCCCTGAGTCACTGCCAGCAGCCATCAACACAAATCAAGAAGAGCTGGGCTTTTTGAAACTGAAAAAAGCAATTTGTGTCTACCCAGGGAGCCTCTTGTCTGGAGTGCCAGGAGGCAGAATAAAGAGACCCAGGAAGATCCGCTCCCCAGTGCAGGAAGAAAATGGAGAGAGTTGGGTGGCACCACCACTGAGGCTCATGTGCTCCTTCATTCCCATCCCTTTCTGGCCCCAGTGGGATTTCTTACTGTTCAATAAAATGATTTTGTCTAACATATTTGACTTGAAATCCAGCTTGTCCAAGGCCAGGCCCCAAACCTCCTTGTTCCCTGAAAGTACATTCCCACATGGGGATCCTGGTGCTCTGAGACCTGCCTCCAAAGAAGACCCCTGAGTGCAGCTTCTAACTGTGTGGCTCTCACAATGGACACCTGTACAAATCGGGGCAGGACCCGGGCAGGTTCTTTAAGAAATGCAGAGCCTGATGAGAACTTCCCTCTGTGTGTGCACATGTGCGTGCATACGTGTGTGTGTGTGTGTGTGTGTGTGTGTGTGTAAGAAGATGAGAGGCAGGACTGAGAAGACGTTCTGTCAATCCACCCATCTCTATCCATTTACTCCACAAATTCCTTTTAAGGATTTTATTTACTTGACAGAGAGAGACACAGCGAGAGAGGGAACACAAGCAGGGGGAGTGGGAGAGGGAGAAGCAGGCTTCCCACGGAGCAGGGATCCCGATGCGGGACTCGATCCCAGGACCCTGGGGTCATGACCTGAGCCGAAGGCAGACGCTTAACAACTGAGCCCCCCCAGGTGCCCCTACTCCATAAATATTTATTGAGCACCTGCTAGTTGCTTGGGGTATATTAGTGAACAAGATGATTGAAGCCCCTCTCCTCATAGCACCCAGAAACTAAAGGAAGAGATAAGTAAAAGATATAATTTCAACTAGTTATAAGAGCAATAAAGTAAGATGGGATAAAAGGATAGAGGGATGAGGGGTACTAGGTTCCACAGGTAGTCAGGGGAGGCCTCTCTGAGGAGGCAACATCTCAGTGAAAATGTGAGGGAATCCTGTGAAGAGTTGGAGGGACACAATTCCTGGAGGAGGAAATGGCAGGAGCAAAGACCCTGAGGCAGGAATGAGGCTGGCCTGTCGTAGGAACAACAGAAAGGCTTGTGGCCAGAGAGAAAAGAGAAAGAAGAATGAAAGATGTGGTTGGAGAAGCAGGCATGGGCCAGACCACAGCAGGCCTCCTCAGCCATGGTGAGGAATGTGGATCTTAAGTGTGATGGGGAAGTCATGGGAAGAAGTTGAGCAGGGTAGTGAAATGATCAGACATAGATGTTAAAAAGATCATTCCGACTACTGTGTGCCCTGGCAGTGGGGTGCTGGCTGTTACCCATGGAATGTCTCTCTCAGCAGTTAAGGGGACAGTTGGTCCTAGGGAGTGGGGGTGGGGGAATATCAGCAAAGAAGAAAGCGCACAGGGTGTGCGGGGGCCTGTGTGCCAGGTCCACGTGCCTTAACTTCCCAGATCCAAAGTGGGCGCTGTCAGCAACTTGTAGCCCTCAGGCCCAGGTGAAACCACTCACTCTGTGGACGGTACGCTCACCCCCAAGGGCCACACCAGCAAGAGTGTTTCGCCAGGAAGGGTCCTGATAACTTAAGAAGTTTCCCTAACCTGGGTTAGAGGAAGGAGGCACAGGCTCTGGGGAGTTCCCACTGTGAGTCTCATCTCAGTTAACCCACAAAACACAGCTAATGCCTCTTCCTGCAGCGACTCCCACTACCCACTGCTGGAGATTAGAACCTCATGTTGCTCTCTGAAACTTGGTGTGACTGAGGAAGATTTGCGACCCTGGAGGAGTCAAGTAGGTTGGCAATTCCTAAACATGAGGCAAACAGACTCATGGGGCAGACTCTTAGGAAAACTAGAGATCCCCAGTGCCTACACGAGTCCTGCTGAATACATTCTTCGGGAGGAATCTGGAAACCTGCAGTTTTAAATTTTTCCCATAATCACGATTTTATAGGAAATACAAGTGACAGAGGAACCTGTTAAATGACACCATGGGATGCAATCAGCAAGTTCTAAGACAATTCCAAAACTCTAAAGGACAAAAGACATGATTTTTTCAACAAACAAATTGCAAGGAAGGAAGAAGGAAGAGGAACCCATGCATTAAGAGCTCTAACAACCAAATGCAATGTGGGTGGCCTTATCTACATTATAATCAAAACAATTATTTAAAAATTAGTCCCGGGGCGCCCAGGTGGCTCAGATAGTTGAGCATCTGCCTTCGGCTCGGGTCATGATCCCAGGGTCCTCGAATCGAGCCCCAGTCTGGGCTCCTGGCTCAGTGGGGAGCCTGCTTCTCCCTCTCCCTCTCCCCCTGCTCAGGCTCTCTCTCTCTCTCTCTCTCTGTATCTCTGTGTCTCAAATGAATAAATAAAATCTTAAAAAAATAAAATAAAAAAATAAAAATTAGGCAATCAGGGAAATTTGAACATGATAGATGATTTATGATATTAAGGAAGTATTGTGACTCTCTTAGGTGTCATAATGGTTTGGTAGTTGTCTTTTTTTTTTTCATTTGCAAACATTTATTGAATATTTGTTATGAAGTGGCATTCACAGTTCTAACAACAGGGAACATAAAGATATAAAAAAGCTTAAATTAATGAGCATATTCAACTACAGTGAAGGATTAGTCATCCGATGAGCTAAATGTCATTTAACTTGGAACACAGCCTTGAAAAAATAAAAAAAAAGAGCATGTGATGAGAGCTCTACTCTGGGTGGATATGGCCAAGAACATGGGGGTTCCCTCTCTTCCCAGCAGCTAATCTAGGGATATGGCTTCACGTGACAGGGACCAGCTGCCAGTGCCTCTCATTCCTCCACCCCCAGGCCCCCACCACTGCTGAAACACAGAGCTGGGCGGGGGCTGCTCAGACAGTTACATCTCTCCTCCCCCACTCAGTTCCCATTTGTAGGGCAGGGCTCTGCCTCAAAAGCAACAAGTTGAGAATAATGGGGCCCCAACTGCCCCAATTCTAGCTCACTCCTAGAATATAGAGATTGCACACTGAGAGAAGCAAGCTAGAAGACCAGGGGCCACCCAGTGCCTGCTTGTAGAGAAGGACTGACCCTTTGGGAGAAGCAGGCTACTGCCTCTGCCCAAAGCTCTGCCGCAGTGGCACGGATGTTCTGCTCAGGAGGAGAGGCAGGCCCTAATGACAGAGAGCTCCACCACACTGTCTGAAGAGTCTGACTTTATCCATGCCTAAGGACTCTGTCAAAAACAATGGAGATTCTGATGGCAAGCAATTAATTATACAGGGGCTAGTAGCTTCACAGTATCAGTAGAACAAAGTGAACCAGCCATAAATTCAATAGACAGCACCTGAGAGACATCCAAGAAGAGTCCCCCTGAGATCACACATATCCCTGAGGGGCCAGAAGGTCAAGAACACATCCTAGGCTGAAGCCCCTCAGGAGTAACCATAGTGGGATATAGAGTAGATGTAAAAAAAATTCCCCAAGTTATACCACAGGTCCATCAGCAAAATGTGGAAGCCTTACTGACTAAAAGGGGCTAAAGCACAACCTTTTGCCAACACTGGCTGAGCAAGTAAGCCACTCTAACCTCGGAGGAAGTCAGGAAGTCAGATGTAATAAAAGTACAATCATCCCTCATGGTCTTTTCCAGTGCTGCACCCGTTCAGGAGATACTGGAGGAAAGACCTCTGAATGGTAGTTGTCTTTTAAAAAGAGCCGTTATCTTTTAGAGATGCAAACTTAAATATGGATGGAATAAATGTTTGATTTGCCTTAAAATATTCTGTAGAAGGTATAAATGAGTAAGGTATAAATGAAACAAGATGGGCCATCCATAATTGTTGAAGCTGAACGACTGGCACATAGGAGTTCAATATACTCTTCTACTGTTTTATGTTTGAAATTACCCTGATAGGTTAAAAGAAATTTTTTTTTAAAGCTTCTCAGGTGCAGCCTGATGTTCATCAGCCAGATATGGAATCAGTGAGGACTCAGGGTGAAGGGGGGTCGGCTTCATCGCATAAATTAGCAGGTGGGAGCCACGGCAGCCAGGCAGAGGAGGGCAGCCTTCCTGTATGAACACAGGAAGCACGAGGGCTCTGAGGCAGGGTATGCTGTGTACAGCATGTTGTTGCCGGTCTGACAGGCCTCAGAGATAAGCAGGCTAGGTTGAGCAAAGGGACAGCAAGTCTGAACTTGAGGCTAACTGAAAAAAATCACATATGCCACATCATAGATGTTTGTTTGGTCAGAGCCAGTTCCAAGCACCTGATGTGCACACAGCCCACTCTTCCAGATGCTTCTGTCAGCAGATGTGGTAGATAACTGCTGGAAACTTGTCCAGCCCCTTCACGGCATACCCCGGAACGGGGCCAGCTCCAGGGGGTGATCAGTGGGGAACGCCTAGACAAACAGAGGATGTAAGGGACTTGAAGCCTCTCCTGGTGAGAGAAGCAGCAGCTGAAAGTCAAGAAGTCCATGGAACCCTAATCTGACTTGGCCCCAAGGGCATGTCCAGCTGCTGGCCTCCCTACCCTTTCCTCCCCTTCAGCCAAGCTCAAGGAGGGTTCCATCCTCGGGCCAGGAGGCTATTCTCTCTGCCACTGCTGGTTTCCCCAAATGGCTGCCTTATGCCCCATGAAGCCACAC